GGGCTGACGCGAAGGGGGGAGACGGAGCGAAGGTGGGGGCGGAGGAGGACGAGAAGGGAGACGAGCTCCGGGCGTTGTAACTTGTTTCGCAATCGGCGTTTCTGCCATGTTTCGGGTGCCTGGGCCATCACACATCGACTCGGCTCGAAAAGCGTGGCAGAAAGATGGGGTCTGGGGTTCTGGTCGTGATCTTCGCAGTGAGGGGGTCAGGGGGTGAGGAGGGGGTGCAAAGGGGGAGAAGAGAAGGAGAACAAGGAAAGACACACATGACTACAGAGAAGGAGAGGGATGAGGGATGAAAAGGAGGACGAGGAGGAGGAAGAGGAGGACAATGAGGAAGTATAGCAGGTATCAGAGGACTGGCACGGATAAAATTAGTACGAATCACACTATGAAGGCTATGGAGAATACGAGTAGTACTGCTAGTACATATCGCACCAATTATACCGTGCAGCTACTAATAATAGTAATGCGAATAATAAACACTATAGGAGTAGTAATACTAATCATTTTGGCAACAATCATAATAACAATAATCTGGATACTAAAAGAAGACGAATACTGAGAAGAAGAAGAAAACAGAAGAAGAAGAGGGAGGAGGGAGGAGGGATGGGGGACCCTCCTCCCTCCTCCTCCTCCTCCTCCTCCTCCTCCTCCTCCTCCTCCTGCACCTCCTCCTCGGCGCCCTCTCGGATGTGCATCTGTGGATGGATTTGAATGGTAGGCAGGTGGTCCGCCCTGTGTTGTCTGTGGCTTGGGATGTGGCCTTTACCCCCTCACTGCCGCCCTGCTCTCAATTGTTGCTGAAGCCTTCTTGCAGGAGCTTCGCCCGGGTATTTTGCAGGTCGTCCTCTGAGGCAAACTGAACTCGAGTACTCCAGATTTCGTAATAAAAAAGAGGGGGTCTCAACCCTCCCAGACGAGAAGTTTTAGACCCCCCCCCCGTGGGAGAACCCTCCAAAACATCATCCCCAGACCCCCCCAGGCCCTCCAAGATAGCCTGGAAGAGACCCCCCCCGAAATGAGACCCCCCTCCTTTTATTACGAAATCTGGAGTACCAATTACGGAGCTCTGGGTATCCTGGCTCCTTCGCCGTGGCATCCCCCCGCACGGCGGGTACCAGGAAGGCACTTCCCCCGCAGCGTGGGCGGTGGTTCACTCCTGTTCGTGTGGGGGGCCATGCAGCCGGCCCTGCTTGAATAACCAGAAGTTGGGTTGAGACACCACTGGACGTCGCTCCTTCTGCGGCATGGAGGACGACATGTACCACAGAGTGAGGGCGTGCCCTCACTTGGCTCCCGCCAGGGAGGCGGTTGGCCCAGAGGCACGGGGACGGGCCTCGCTCTGTGGGCCTTGCGACCTCCACCTCCGCCTCCTCCTCCTCCTCCTCCTCCTCCTCCTCCTCCTCCTCCTCCTCCCGCTGGCTGCAGGCACATCGCGCTTGGTCGATTCGGATCGACTGCGAGCGCTGGCAGCCCGCATCAAGGCCAAGGAGGAGGCATCCAGGCGATAGCCGATGATGACGATGACGTTCTGCCAATGGGTCGTCCCGTCCTCCTCCTCCTCCTCCTCCTCCTCCTCCTCCTCTCATCATCCTCATCTCATTCCTCCCCCTTCTCCTCCTCCTCCTCCTCCTCCTCCTCCTCCGCCTCCTCCTCCTCCTCCTCCACCACCAGAGAGCACTGAGGGCACTAATGTGCAATGCGCACTGGCCGCAGGCCCGCGTGCACGGGCACGGGATGCACGAGTCAGATCTTTGCCAAGGCTGTAAGAGGAGCACGGGGACTCTTTGGCACAGGCACTATGCGTGCGACATGCACGAGAGCGTCAGGAGAGATGGAGTCTCGCCCTGGCTTGCTCTTCGAGCGAAGCGGGCCTTGGCGGTCGGGGAGGCGGAGGGAGAGCGATTCGCGAGATGTGTCTTGCCCAGTCCCCTCGCTTTTATCCCCCATGTAGAGCCTCGACAGTATCTGCTGGGTGAACAGGCCGCCCAGCGGTATGCTTACAGGGTGTGTGTTCAGCGACGGCTCAGCCATGTGGCCGTCTTTGCCAGGAGTCTCCAGGGCTGGGTGGGCGCTTGTGCAGGTAGATAGGTTAGGCGACCTCTTGCATGCAGCCTTCGGCCCTGTCCCCAGGAGGTTTGGGCCCAGGCAGACGGCCAAGGACGGGGAGGACTATGCCATTTTATGCTGACACAAGTAGGGCAAGGGCCGTTTGATATTCTTGGAATGTAAAGCAACCTTGGATGTGTTGCTCGGCGGTCCTGGCTCTGGCACGGAGTGGGACAGCCCCAGAGCACACATGTGGAGTCCGTTCTGGGCTGCCTTCAGCGAAGCAGATTTTACAGCGCGCAAGACACTTGCGCATGCGACGAGAGCGGATGTTGCCTCGGGTCGCACGAGCGAGTGGGAGATGCGTGCGGATCAGGCGGCCGATCTCCACGCGAAGCGAGGAGCCATGCTGCACGGCAGGACAGAAGATGATGCTTGCCTCTTCCGAGGCTTTAAGGCTTTGGCGGCGGAGCAGGCGCGTTGGGCTGGAAGGCTCGAAGTCCTGTTGTCGGAGGCTGGCTCTCGACGGGACTCGGTGGGGCTCACGGGCCCAGCGCCAATCGAGGAGCTGCCTCCCGCGCCTTTGCCTTGTGACGAGGAGGAGGAGGAAGCCGAGTCGTCGTCCGTTGTCGAGCTGGGGGAGGAGGGATGTTCACGACTTGGGCCGAAGAAGCCCAGCATGCGGCGTATTTCAGAGGACACGCGCTGCTGAAGTGCGATGTAGAGCAAGCCACCGATATCAATTCGGTGACTTTATGTTTCATGTGTGGAGGTTACACCTCGGGGGGGCCGTTGCGGCAAGTGCTGCTCGAGCATTGCCTGCGCAATCCACCGCGCCTTGGGGTGAAATCTCAGCTTGCCCGTATCAAGAACGGTGTGCACCCGCACTACCGTGCTTCCACCAGGTGTTTCATGTGTGGAGGTTACACCTCGGGGGGGCCGTTGCGGCAAGTGCTGCTCGAGCATTGCCTGCGCAATCCACCGCGCCTTGGGGTGAAATCTCAGCTTGCCCGTATCAAGAACGGTGTGCACCCGCACTACCGTGCTTCCACCAGGTCTCTGCGGCTCATGCCCCCTCGTGCGTTGAGGCCCTGTGAAAAGGCTGAGCTTGAGACCTGGGGCCGTCCCTGTGAAACCGCTGGGTCACCTGCGGGCTCGACGGCGGAAGTGTCTGTTTCTGGACTGCCCTCGCAAGCACATGTCCTTGCGGCCTTTGGGGTATTGGAGTCCGACCTGTCGCGAGTGAAGGAGCTCGGGCGGGTGAAGGCCGCTGAGGATTCCGACATCGGATCGGAGGCCTCGGACGGCGATTTGTTCTGAGGTTGAACTCGCCTTCATGGCCAGCCACCACCACCACCACCACCTCCACCACCACCACCACCACCTCCTCCTCCTCCTCCTCCTCCTCCCTCCTCCTCCTCCTCCTTCCTCCCCCTCCTCCTCCTCCTCCTCCTCCTCCTCCTCCCCTGCCATCCTCCTCCTCCTCCTCCTCCTACCTCCTCCTCCTCCCCCTCCTCTTCCTCCTCCCTCCCCTCCGTGCGCCGCCTCCTCCTCCCGCATCCTCCTGCGCTCTCTCCTCCTCCTCCTCCTCCTCCTCCTCCTCCTCCTCCTCCGCCTCCTCCCCCTCCTCCTCTCCTCCCCCTCCTCCTCCTCCTCCTCCTCCGCCTCCTCCTCCTCCTCCTCCTGCGTCCTCCTGCCTCCTCCTTCTCCTTCCTCCTCCTTCCTCCTCCTCCTCCTCCTTCTCCTCCTCCTCCCCCTCCTCCTCAAGTCCCTTGGTAAAGAGTCCCCAGGAGTGAGCAGTGAGGCTCAAAGGATTTGGCAAAGGACCTGAGGACACGCCCACTCCGGGCCCAGGCGGCACGGTGGCTGATGTTGTCCCGCAGCCAGAAAACCATGACATTCTGCGCTCACGACCGATTCAGGCAAGCCTCGAGGTACAGAGCCTTGGGTAGCACGCAGCACCTCCCCGTGCTCGACTTGGACAGCTGCCCGGCCGGCACGTCTGGCACCAGGAAGGTCTGCACGGCAGCAGGGACCATCACGACACACATATCTTCCCTGGGCATTTCCGCTGAAAGTGACCTCTGGTCCCTGATGGCTGGGCCTCAAAGGCATGGTGTTCGGTAGCACATCATGGGAGTCTCCGTCTCGGCCTCCCGACGCTCCCAGATGGCCCTGAAGGCCCACAAAGTCGAAAGTGAGCCTGGTAACTCAAATGGGGCATATAGCCTGGCAAATTGCATCCATCGCTCTGCTGTGAAGGTACAGTATGAGGGGTGGATGGGTAAGATAGGATAAGATCAATGTAATGATCTTTCCAGCACATAGCGAACACTCGCGGTGTCCGGGCAAATAGGGCGCGCGTGCCTTGAGCCCAAGGCAGCGGCGCGCGAGCTATGCTCCCGATACTGTAACATTACCCTTAAAGTCGGGAGGGGAGGAGACGGAGAGCATAGTCGCACGCAAAGATCGCGCGCACGACTGCTTGCAAAGAAAAGAAAACAGTGCGTACAGTCTGGTCAAACACCAGACTGTAAGGCGAGTTTCCTCGCAAAGTATTTCACGCAAATACAGGACAGCCCCTTCAAACAATGAAGGGCTATCGGCTTAGTAAGAGGTAAGCCAAAATTAGGCCATACCTCACCAAGCAAATGTGTATTAAGGCAAAGAGCCTGAGTTGTACGAAGCCGGCTCGTTGCCAGGCGTGAAATATAAGGCTCGTTTCCGATCAGCTAAAGGGGCGCCTTTATAGTAGGCGCCCGTGCTGGCAAACTGGACCGCGAGGGCAACAAGGACAGACTAAAATTGATTAGACTTGGGTTTGTCTCTGTCCTCGGGACCCCGAAAGGGAACAAATTGCTTCACGTCATACTTAAATGACTGAGTGCCTGACATCACTTCCAGAAGCAGCTCCCGATCGATGCTTCCCTTTGTATGCCCAACTGCGG